AATTGAAAATTGAAAAAACATATATATAAGCATTAGTTTCCTGTTTTGAATGATCATAGTATGTCGTTTCCTTTTTCAATTTTGTCTGTGAGGCAAATGCCATCATCTCATCTTCTTGTTGCCTCTGCAACAATCTTGTTGTTTCTTGTCTCCTTCTTAGGTCAAACGTGTAGCTCGTCTGCTGCGTACGATTTGCTAATCGACGCGCCTTTGCTGACGGAGAAAATCAAGACGAACAGAACCATTAGGGTTGACATCAATGGCGATGGGGACTTTAGGTCTATCCAAGAGGCTATCAACGCTGTTCCTGATGGAAATTCTGAATGGGTCATCATTCACATTCGAAAAGGGATTTACAGGTGATCTTCTATATATGACCTCTACGTACATATATATATATATATACATAAATCTCTCCTTGTGAATGTATATAATATGCGTATATGTACACACGTAACAGGGAAAAGGTGCATATACCAAAGAGCAAACAATATATATTCATGAGAGGGAATGGAAAAGGAAGAACAAGCATTGTTTGGTCGGAAAGCTCCCATGACAATGTTGCCTCTGCAACTTTCAGACTTGAAGCCTCTCATTTCATTGCATTTGGTATTAGCTTCAAGGTTTGTACACATACATACACGCATATATATACATATAATCATTCTTCATTAATTAATTCATTAACGAAGATTTTTATTTATTTACGTAAATCTTCAGAACGAAGCACCAACCGGCGTTGCTTTCACGTCACAAAACCAGTCAGTAGCGGCATTCGTCGGTGCGGACAAGGCTGCATTTTACCATTGTGCATTTTATAGCAACCACAACACTCTGTTCGACAACAAAGGCAGACATTACTACGAAAGCTGCTATATTCAGGGCTCCATTGATTTCATCTTTGGCCGTGCCACATCCATTTTTCACGTAAATATATATTCTATTACTTGAATATTGATCATACATAAACAAAAATACACGTACTAAATTAATTTTTGGGTGCAGAGCTGTGAGATATTTGTTATATCAGACAAGAGGGTGAAGCCATATGGGTCAATAACAGCTCAGAACAGGGAGAAAGAAGATGAGAAGAGTGGGTTTGTGTTTGTGAAAGGGAAGGTTTATGGGATTGACTTGGTTTATTTGGGAAGAGCCAAAGGAGCCTTTTCAAGAGTCATCTTTGCCAAAACTTACTTGTCCAAGACAATTGTCCCCCATGGCTGGACCAACTGGAGCTTTGATGGCACCACCGAGTAAGATATTATTAATTATTATTAATCTTCTTTACTTTTTCTTTCCTTTTCTTTAATTAATCATGTTGAGGGTTTAATTAATAATTAATTAATTAATTAATTAAATAGGAAGCTGTTTCATGCGGAGTACAAGTGTCACGGGCCGGGAGCTGAATCGGCTGGAAGAGCTCCATGGTCAAAGCAACTCACGAAGGAAGAGGTTGCTCCTTTCTTGTCTATTAGTTTCATTAATGGCAACCAATGGCTCCCTGTTTGGCAAGCTGAGGAACTCACCATCTAATTCCATTTTTATTAATTAATTACATCATATATATATACATACACAGATATATATCTGTACCCTTTTCGTTTTTTCGGAGGTTTTGTACCTGTAGTACACAAAACATATATATATATATGTATAGATCAATCAGGGGCCGGTCTTTCCAATTATTTGGCTTGGCTCAAAGTTTGTAGCAACTGATTTATTGGGTTTAACATATAACATTTCATTTTAAAG